TGTGCGTTAATTACTGAAGCAGGCTTGCCCCCAGCATCAACCGCATCCCCACCCACTGATGACAAAAGCATGTCAGGATAACCAGAGGTGAGCTCGAGCAGAACAGAGGAACAAGTAGTGCCGCCTTAAAGAATCTCACGAGTAGCCAAAAAACTGACAACCGAGCGAACACCAACCGCGATAAAATGACAACAGCGAACTTACCGGAGGAAATCACTATGGGGAAAAAAAACAGTTTGTGAGGCATTCAGGTAGAAAAATCGACAAGTAGTTTAGACTCAATTTACCAATTTAATTAAAGGGCCTATTCTGCCTAATCCTGTCTGCATCATAAATTTACATGAGAACAGTTGCATAATAGGGGACAGCACTACTATCCGTCGAAAGTCGCAAACATTCAGAATTTCCTATTTCAACTTCTGTCTCATTATTACTACATCAAAACGAAAAAAGTATTGATAAAATTTGTTAAATAGACTAACTACGCATTTGTAGAAAGATTCTTTACCAAATATACTCGACTGATAAACTTATAAGAATTAATCAGAGGTTTTTAAAAGTACCCTTTGAAACGCCAGATTAGCAGAAACGTCTTAACTGTTTTACGCTGCTTAAGTTGATTTTAGAATAATTAAAACTAGGATGCCTAGGTTTTTTTCTAATAAAAATAGTGATAGACACCTAAATAAAAATTCTATTAAAATTACAGAGATTCAGTTAACCCAGAGCAGAATAAGACACAAGATTTTACTTGATATAATGGGTGATATCAAGCTCAGATAGCTCAATATATTCCTTGTATCTCTCAGCATAGGCGATCATTGGAATGTTGGCTGCTTGCAGACAGGACCGCAGCTTCGCACGCAATTTCTCAACATCCGGTTCGTGGGCACCTACAGCTTCAAGCAGAGGATTGTCCGACCAGCTGATGCCCTCGACCACAAACTGGATAAAAAAATAAAAACATGAATATTACTATATATTCGGTCAGTAGTGCTTGACACATTTTACCGTCATTGTGGTGTACGTGAAGGTTAGACTGAAGCCCAACTTACCCTCTCCACCTGTGAAATGTTTTGGATTGATTTTATGGCCTTGTCGAAGAGACCCCAAAGAATCTTCTCGAACTGGCCCAATAGCGTGCTGTAGTGAACTCCGTCCTTATCAATTACCAGGTCGACAAGGAAGAGAGCGTTCTTCTTGGGTCTGGTGGACAAAACGCATACATGAGTTTACTTAAACGGTCACAGAAACAAAACGGGGTAAAGGCTTGATTCAGTACATACAAAATTAGGGAGAGAGGCTACTGAATCTCTATGCATCGTGTTGACAGTCGATTCGGAAGTTAATTTACGTCCACTTATGCCTGTTAGGAATACTTTACTAGCCGACGAAATCAGGATATTAGTATTAAAACGAGATATATTATCAATACATGAAACTAGCCTGTTTGGTGAACTTATCGCCTTCAGCCAGTCGCGTCCTTATTTCGAAGAAATAGGCATAAAACACCACAGAATCAACTTCTGTGTTAAGTAATCAAGTTGGCAATTTTGAGGTGATTATTTGGATAAGTTTCCATTTGGTATAAATACATCTGTTACCAATCCCTCCCCACGTCATTTGGCAAAATATTGTTATCTGCGTAAAACGTTTCCGGTCCCAGACACTGGTCGATTATCGACTGAGGTCTCACTGTTACGGTGACTTTATCCATCTGTACTAGCTGAGTATCCACGGTATTTGCTTCCCTAAATCAGAAGGTTTACCATTGTGCGAGGACTAAATTTAGATAGGTCGCATTACCGTGCTTAGCCATCTACTTTATGCAGCAAATGTATGACAATTAGGAGGAGAATCACAAGGCTTTGTAACGAAAAGTTGTTGCTCGTAAAACTACACGACTTTCAACAATCGACTCCTAAAATGGACAACTTAGGTGCGCTTTCGGAGGCAAGTAAACATTACGAAATTTTATAATAATCAGCTATTAGGCGGTCTACTTAGACCTGTGGATATAGTTTCTAGATTATGAGGTAATTTTCTATTCTCAGAGACAACCAGTGATAATTTAAAACTAGGAATAAAGCATATAATGACCAGATATGGACGAATGAATAAAAATGGATATGGCGGCTAGTTGACCTACAGGATGCTGCTCGTACGCAGATCATTTGTCCACTCGTAACCGTTCGTCAACTTGATGCAAGTGAAGCAGGCGTCTTCCACCATCTTAACGAATCCGCCTATAGAATCCATCACGAGGTAGCGTAGGGCGTCTTGCATACAGTACTTTATCATATTTAGGAACCGCTTCAACTTTGAATTGGTGTATACGTAGTAGTCGGTCTCGTAAATGTTAAACCAACCCTTGCCACTGTCGCGTAAGGCAATCCGAATGTGGCGCCTCATGTTCTCAATCCAAGCTTCCTAAAGGGAGAAAGGAGCACCTGGTAATCATGCAGTCCCTAAAGTTCATAATTCCTTTCTACTGATTACATTTCAGTAATATCATGACCATCCAGCCAAATAAGTGCATTTTTTTCTGGGGGAATTAATTTTCACTGAGTACAGTAGTCGCCGGCTATTAAGCCCACGGCTAATAAGCCCAGCCGCG